AAACCTCGCAACCCTCACCTGGTGCGCCGATCTGCTTTTGCGTGGTTTCGTCACTCCGGGTTTGAGAGAGCGGCGTGCTTATACGAGGTTCTGGACAAGCCTTCTATATGAACCGGCTTAATTGAAGCGCTCATAACTGATATTGTCTGGTGCCTTTAATGTATCTGACGGAATAAAGAAATATTTCATTCCTTCATTCATCCTTACATTCATTCATTTTTTTTATTCATTCACTTTATTTCAGTCAGTTCAGAAGTTCTGATCGAGCACAAACGAAGTTAACATTTAAGTTAAGGCAACAGTCACACCTGGAAATGACAGGTGACGGTAGTCCTTACTTAGACTAGGTGACAGATCTGTGCACTCTCCAGATGTCAACAGGCCATTCTGTTTATCAAAGAGAGGGTAAGGTTTTGCATCTTCTCAGACTATAAATCCCCTGTGTAGTCGAATCCTCCAGTTGTGATTGAGACCGAATAGTACTGAACTTAACCATGGTCTTGATGACTCTGAAGTCTGTAGAGGACATTGTGACAAATTTGTGCCTCAACAACATAAGTGGTGGAGTGATGAAACCTCGTAACCCTAAAAATTTTCGAAATTCGTTTTTTTTTGGCTTAATGTCTTTTTCAAGTCCTTCACAATATGTCAAAAGCACTAGGTCATATTTCCGAATCTGTATTGAATATCTCCTTCTAACTGTGCTCATCACCTAGATCTTTATACCCTACAAAGGCTGGTTTGGAAACCACTGAGCAGACCACGTTCAAATGAACTGACCCCACCCACCATGTTGCAGTCCTTTCCAGGGCTGTCCCTGATATGTGGAGATAAGGAAGTATCAGCTTCATCCCAGAATGAGTCTGCACCAACAATAGTGTCGCCTGGAATCATACCCCAAACCACACTGACGTTTCACTAGGCAGCTGTAAGTCAGATGCTAAATTTTTACCTTCGAGGTTACAGCAACACAATCTGTAGACCATATTCAGGCACCTTAGCCACTTTTCCTGGAGCCTGATCCCGAGACACAGCTCATTTGTGATGCCAGCATAAATAATGATCCACAAAGGAAAAGAAAGGGTTTTAAGGAGTAGCAACAAATAAGCGAAAAGCTATCCGTGGATCGGGACAGGATCGGAATACATAATGGTTCAATGAAAAGCCCAGCTAAATTATTGAAACCAATCTGCGATTGCAAGAGCTGGACTCTGAAATATAAAGGCTCTCTGAAGTTGATAGACATTCTATTTTTGATTTAGTGTGGTCACTCTCATGGGATGACTAGTGGACCTCGGACGAGATATTCAGAAACTAACCAGAGAGGGAATACCTTCAATAAACACTTTTAAAAGGTGGCCATAAGGTGCCAGTGTGTTAAAAGGTGTTCCTAAATTGAACTGGGTTGGATGAATGATTTGTAAGAAACATTTAGAACCAATAATTATCAAAGTAACTCAGATATCTACAAAACATGCACAAATCTGCCAAGACCACGGAGGTGGCCTCTCAAAAGACCCGATCTCGATGAAGCATTCAAGCAGAATAACGTGTCGCTGTTCCTGTCAAAGATAGATATGTACCACCTTTGCATCAGTCGTGAAGTTGACAATGTGCAGGTTGATCTTTGGAAAGCTCACATTCTAGAAAAGGAGGCAGCGCGCAAAGAAAAGGAACGAGATATATCTGAAGCTATCAAATCTCTCGCCAGTAATGAACCTAAAACGGCCGTACTTTCAATGGATCTTCAGCATCAGCCTTATATTACAAAACAAAACTCGCCGTTCATAACTTGACCCAATTGGATGCTGCAACACGCCAGACTACTTGCTACGTGTGTCATGAAGCAGAAGGGAGACTTATGGCAAATAAGTTTGCTTCATGTCTATTGGATTTCCTGAAAGAAAAGCTGGACCTCCAGAAAACCATCATCGACAGCGACAACTGTGGTTACCAATAAGAAATGCCACACTGGCCAATGTTTCTCTCAGCCTGTTTTCAACAACACGTGGAAGCACAATTGAACAAAAACATTTTATCAAAGGACACACACAAATGGAAATTAACAGTGTGAACTCAACTATTAAGAGATCGCTTCGAAAAACACGCATCGAGGTCCTCCAAGACTACCTCCATTTCTTCAGGATGGCAAGAGCAAAACAAGAAACTTATCAAAACAAATAGTTGGATCACACATCCTTCAAGGAATATTCTAAGTGTGGAAGCTACGTCAAGTCTATAAGACTAGGTAGAAAAACGGGTGATCCTGTTGTCACCGACATCAGGTGTTTTAAGTACACCCCAAACATGAACATCCAGTTCAAGCTGCACCTCAGTGATGAATGGGCTGACGTTCCGAAGGCAGGACAAAGAAACATAAGGTCCACCCTACCTCACAACTCTACACTAAACGTTTTAAGTTCCAGCACTTCAAGTACAATCACCTACAGGTGCTTAAATCTGCTATTGCCAATATGCATCGTCACTTTATGACGATTACTACCATTAACATTTATGGCTGTTCATTATGATTCAACATCTCTTATGAAACCATCTGTAGTGCAAACAGAGACCACCTTGCAGAGATTTATTATTCATAATTTGTGCTCTTTAGTAAAACTGTAAGTAACCAGATCTAATCTTGGCAAATTATAATGAAACAAATTGCATTCTTTGCAATCTGTTTGAGGATTCAAACATAAATTCTGCAGGGAACACACCTTTATTTAACTTCAGTTGGACGGGAATCAAACTCCAAACTAATTGGTCTTGAAAAAACATCTTTATCACTTTGTGGCGTTTCAAACAACAGACGCATACTGCAACCAAAATGAACAGAGAGAAAACTCGCAACCCCCAAACTCTATCCTGATGAAACCTCGCAACCCACCCGCCGGCTGACTACGAGGTTTCATCACGACAAAAATGTTGTAATGAAACCTCGCAACCCTCCCGCCGGCTGACTACGAGGTTTCATCACGACAAAAATGTTGTAATGAAACCTCGCATCCCACAGCGTAACCACATAATTAACAGAAAAGTTATCTTTTTGCACCAACCACGTTTCTAAGGTGTTTTCATTTATCTGTACCAACTTTGGTTCATATAGGTCATTTTGTTCAAGAGTAAATCCGTTTTTTGTCTCTCCTGTAAAATTTTCCTTTCTGGGGTTACGAGGTTTCATCTCTCAACCAGCGATATATATATATATATATATATATATATATATATATATATATATATATATATATATATATATATATAATATATGATATATATTTATACAACCCCCTGATTCCATCGAATCGTTACACAAGCATCATTCGGCATCGCACGTTCGGCAGAACAATCGACACTTATACAAGAGACCTTGCATAAACGCCATCATCATCATAATAATCACCATTATCCTCATCATCACGATATTTCTTCCCCTGGATCAGAGTACAGGCCATGAACAAACCCTCTCCACCCTCGCCCCCCACCCCCAACCTCACCAGGGCTAACCTCTTCCCACTGTACCTCGTCTTCCCCCCCCCCACCCCCAACCTCACCGGGGCTAACCTCTTCCCATTGTACCTCGTCTCCCCCCCCCCCACCCCCAACCTCACCGGGGCTAACCTCTTCCCATTGTTCCCCGCCTCCCCCACTTTTCCATACATCGTTCTCTAACTCTGAGACTCATCTCTCCCGGCTCTACGTGACCATCCTCTTGTGAGAAGCTCAAACGTCGTTCATCCTGGTGTGAGTGTTTTTTCCCCATTATAGTAGAGGGTTTTACGGCGCTCGCAACTGCAAAAGGTCATATGAGCGCCAAGTGCATATATATAACATATATATATATATATATATATATATATATATATATATATATATATATATATATATATATATATGTGTGTGTGTGTGTATGTTTGTGTGTGTGTGTGTGTGTGTGTGTATGTGTGTGTGTGTGTGTGTGTGTGTGTGTGTGTGTGTGTGTGTGTGTGTGTGTGTGTGTCGACGTTGTAGAGTCGGGCGCTCGTCAATGTTTGGACATGTGGAGCTATTGGTATCACTTTAAAGGTTGTTCATATATATATATATACAGCAACAGTCAAGCAGCACATTAATGGTCACACTAGTCACAGACTCGACCACTTAGCGAGGATCTAAGCTGACAAATTAGGTACATGTACGGACTCGCCGAGGGAGCATCCACGAGCTACAAGGCAGCAAGTCCTTATTATTAACAGATCTGGCTGCTTTGTGGGAGAGCAGAGAGAGAGAGAGAGAGAGAGAGAGAGAGAGAGAGAGAGAGAGAGAGAGAGAGAGAGAGAGAGAGAGAGAGAGAGAGAGAGAGAGAGAGAGCATGTTGAGATTGCCTGTTTCCCAATTAGAGGGCTATTGATCAGTATTTTCTTTCTTTGTTGGTTAGGGGGAGTTGTTGATTGTTTTGTTTTTTCCTGTTTTGTTTTTTTAGAAGGGTGGGGTTTTTTTTGGGTTTTTTTTTTATATTCTGTTGTGGTTATTATTGTTGTTGTTGTTGTTGCTGGTGGTGGTGCTGCTGTTGCTGTTGTTGTTGCTGCTGTTGCTGTTGTTATTATTGCTGTTGTTATTGTCGCTGGTGGTGGTGCTGCTGCTGTTACTATTGTTGTTGCTGCTGTTGTTGTTGCTGCTGTTGCTATTGTTATTGTTGTTGTTGTTGTTGTTGTTGTTGTTGTTGCTTTTGTTGTTGTTGTTGTTGTTGTAGCTGTTTTGGAAAAGGGGGGGGTAAGTTTTCGTCAAACATTTTCAGCACCTGCATCATAACTAGGTCATACAAGTGAGAATATTCGAATTATGAATGTAGGCCTACAAAGAAAAGAAGAAGGAGAGATAAGGAAGGAGAGAACAAAAAACGTTTGAGATATAAAAAAAGAGCAATCCACACATCAAGGTATCCGCCAAAAACCCATAAAAAAATAACTGACACACTCGGAGACTGCAACGCTAAGACAAGACTTAGTACAAGTACTCTATAAATAATCAATAAATACAGCTCTTTATTTATAACACATGAAATGTTAACATTTTCACTGATGGCAGACGTATATGTATGTTTTTTCACGTTCCTGTATTGCCAAGAAAAATTCGCACTGGAACTATAAAGTATTATCTTATCTTATTAATTTGTATCTCTTATCTGAACTTATGTCGTCTTCCAAACTTGTTCACAGATATTTCTTTCTTTTAATTCAATGAGGATTTTTTTAAAAATTGTACACAGCTGCATGTGATTACTAATTTTGCAACTAATACAGATGCCTAATCCTATAAGAGCGGACGAGGTTGGGAGGGGGGGGGGTGGAGGACATAATATTATGACTTAATTTGACTCCCTTTTGAATGAACTTTTGATCTCATCTGTTCCAAAGGTAAATGGACACGCCTCTTCTCTGAAAGAGTTAATGTTGACAGGTCTTGTATGAGCTTCCTGGCTGAAAGAGTTAATGTTGACAGGTCTTGTACGAGCCAGCTCCTTGAAAGGTTTAATGTTGACAGCAGGTCTTGTCTGAGCTGGCTAGCTGGGCAGGCGTCTTCAACAGTGGAAGTTTTGCGCTGCGCATGCGCTGGATCCAACAGGCTCGCAGACACCTGTGCCAGAGAAACACGTGATTTGTTTGTTTGTTTGTTTGTCTATTTATTGGTTAGTTAGTTTGTTTGTTAGTTTATATGTTTGCTTGTTTGAGTAAAGAGAAGCACATGGACGTAATAAGGGGCATTAAGTGCTGGGAAAAAAGCAAGACAGACAGAAACAATCCAAAGAAGGACAGACAGTAAAGAAGTAGCACACGCCAATAGCACCCTCCAACCACCTGTAGAAAGACGTATAGAAAACAAATCGTCACCTGAAGTGGTCATGATTATAAATAAAAGGTCGTCGGTTCAACAAACCGTTCCCCTAACTGTAAAAGAAACATCTATCGTACTTATATCTCCTCCGTTGTAAAATAAATATCTTTAAAAATGTTACTTTTTAGTAATACCATCTCTAATCTTCAGCACTTATAATAATTATTATGAACTTTTTGCGTTACTTTTTAATCTAACTCTCTAGCAACAACTCTAGTCTTCACCGGGGGCCTTCGTGGTAAGTGTTTACGGCGCTCGCAACTTCAAAAGGTCATATCAGCGCGCAGGACACACCAGACATTTTAAGATGGTATGAAATTTTGAATTTTGCCCAGGTGGCGGCCAAAGCCTACTCGGTCTTATCGATTTTAGACCACCAAGGGATCTTCAATGTGCGTAACTTGCACACGGGACCTCCGAGATTTGTCCCCTTGTCCAAGAAGGCTAGGTGAAGATCTATCCTACTAGAAGATCAGGGGTGTGGCGGAAAGACAGCAGCAAGGAGCCAAGGAGTAGCAGTAGAAAGGCTGCAGAAAGAGTCAGAAGCCCAGAAGAATGGGCAGAGGATGTGAGGGGTGGGGGCAGAAAGTGGAGACGAAAGCAGACAACAGAAAATTACAAGACAGAAGGAAAAAAGGTGAAAGGAGACAATTTTAGAGGAGAACATGTTTCGGTCACGACCCGAATTCGAACCTGGGACCTTTGAATGAGAGGCGAACACCTTAACCTTTAGGCCAAGAGAGCCCCCTCCCTAAACCAAGAGCAACTCACCAGGGTGGCTGGTGGGTGTCTGAAGTTTGGCGAGAGAGCTGAAGTGGTGGTGGTGGTGGTGGTGGCTGTGGTTTTGATGGGTGGTGGTGGTGGTGGTGGTTTTGATGGATGGTAGTGGTGGTGAAGGTTTTGATGGGTGGTTGTGTTGGTGGTGGTTTTGATGGGTGATGGTGGTGGTGAAGGTTTTGATGGGTGGTAGTGGTGGTGAAGGTTTTGATGGGTGGTGGTGGTGGTGGTTTTGATGGGTGGTGGTAGTGGTGATGGTGGTTTTGATGGATGGTGGTAGTGGTGGTGGTGGTTTTGATGGGTGGTGGTAGTGGTGGTGGTGGTTTTGATTGGTGGTGGTAGTGGTGGTGGTGGTTTTGATGGGTGGTGGTAGTGGCGGTGGTGGTTTTGATCGGTGGTGATAGTGGTGGTGGTGGTTTTAATGGGTGGTGGTAGTGGTGGTGGTTTTGATGGGTGGTGGTAGTGGTGGTGGTGGTTTTGATGGGAGGTGGTAGTGGTTGTGGTGGTTTTGATGGGAGGTGGTAGTGGTGGTGGTGGTTTTGATGGGTGGTGGTAGTGGTGGTGATTTTGATGGGTGGTGGTAGTGGTGGTGGTTTTGATGTGTGTCCATGTTGGTAATGGCGGAGGAGAAGGAGGAGGACGAGGACGAGGACGAGGAGGAGAAGAGCAGGGAAAAGGAGAGGAGATGGTGGTGACAGAGGACGAGGGGGTTACCCTATCCTTTCGAAACGTTTGGAGCCCCGAAGAGCGTGCTTTTTGCCAGTGCCACCGCCTCCCTTCTTATTGTTATTGTTGTTGTTGTTGTTGTTGTTGTTGCGGTTGTTGTTGTTGTAGTTGTTGTTGTTGTTGCTGTTGTTGTTGCTGTTGAAGCTATGGGTATCATGAGCAACTCACCAGGGTGGCCGGTTGGAGTCTGGAGTTTGGCGTGAGAGCTGGGTTTCCAGTGACAGTTGGGGTCTCCCAGCTCCACGCCATTGCTCTTTCCGTCTCCGTCTGAGTCCTTCATGCACAGGGCGGCAGTCCACTGATGGCCCGCAGCGGCAAAGTCCTGAGGAACATCATCATCATCATCATCATCATTCATCATCATCATCATCATCATCAGCAGCAGCAGC